TCTTTTTTGATCTTTCTAAAGCGTTTGACAGGGTAAATCACTCAAAATTGCTTTCCATTGAAACATACGGTATCCGTGGACAATTATTATCTTGGTTTTCATCCTACTTATGCGATAGAGGGATGACTGTGCTTGTTGGTGACAGCTTTTCAAGACTATCGTACAGTAGCAGTGGTGTGTCTCAGGGGGTATACTTTCCCCACTCCTCTTTCTGGTTTACACTGCTGAACTGCCATCGCTTTCAAGGACACATCCAGAGATCAGGGTTCAAGTTTTTGCAGACGATATCAAAATTTACTTTTGCTATGATAATGGGAAAAGGATGGAAGCTCACGAAGCGATTTCATTGTCCATAGAGAAAATGATCCTTTGGTCCAAGGAGTGGGATATACCTGTAAACGCTCTCAAGTCTAAGATCTTACATCTTGGGGATTCTCAACCCGCCGCTTACCAGTGCGAGAGTATCGAACTGGAACTTTGCGACGTCAGTAAAGACTTGGGTATCCTCCTTGATGACCAGCTTAGGTTCAACCGTCACTACTACACGGTTGCCAATAAAGCTCTCTCAGTCCTTTTCGTCATACTCAGGAATATCCACAGGAATGATCCCGCCCTTCTTGTCAGACTATACAAGACTTATGTGTTGCCGCACCTAGAGTATGCATCTCCAGTGTGGAGTCCTCATTCAAAGAAGAACGCTGAAAAGCTTGAAAAAGTGCAAAGAACTTTTACAAGAATTGTGTACTACCGCTGCTACCCTAGTGCTGATTACCCTCAAACTTTGCCATCTTATAAAGAAAGGCTTACTGCGCTAAAGCTGCAGAGCTTAAAGTACAGGCGCGTATGCAATGACCTCATCTTCTGCCGGATCATCAGGTTAGAAACCAGATTGAAGTTTAGTAAATATTCGACTTTCAGGCCTTGTGGTAATCGAGCGGGGGATTTGTTGGGATACCGGAGACTGGGAAGCAGAAAACATTCCTTCATGTATCACACCGCAAGCTTGAGCTCCTTCCTAGAGAAATAGCCTTTTCTAAAACATCCGCAGAATTCCGGAAATTAGCCGCAATCAATGTAATGTCAGTTCTGGGAATTTCTGATGTTTGAGAGATTCATAAAGCCTTAGCAGAGTGACACATCACGGCTCAACGCCATTCTTCTTCTATTTGGATTAGTGACATAAGATTCTAAAATGCTTTTTTTGCTACTGAGTACAACCAGCCTTTTTGCCATTAAGTTGAGAAAGAATTTTTGCTCTTCCATCATATCACATGCAACACTCGAGTCTTTCCGCACGAGTAGCGTTTGAGGATTTCGGAAGTTGGCGAGCATCAGTTTTGAGTCCCCCCTTTCCTTCACGCCCAGGGTTCCCGACGGTTAAGTCCGCCACGGGTCAAGTTAGATATTTAAGCCCTGGTGTAAATTTCAGTCGTACTCGCGTCTAGGCGGGTCTAGGATCTCAGCAAGGAAACCTCGCCTTCTAGAGAAGGAGAACGACCTGATACCGCGGCGGAAGACGAACTTGGGAACAAGAGCAAACTTAAGACCACTCATTTTTCTGTGTCGATGTTTTTATGTTTCAAGAGTTGTTTTGTGAACTTTTTTTGTGAATTTTTGGCACACTTTTCGTTTGAAATAAATAAATAAATAAATAAATACCATGAATCCTTTTCAGACAACCATCAGGAATTGAAAGCAGGCCAAATCTTGACTGCCGCATTTTTCGCTTCCAGTGTCTGAGCTTTCACCAGCTTTTACTCCTAGCGAAGAGGATGAATCAAGGCCAAATTAGTTGAAAACTACAAAGCTCAGGCCATCAATTTATATGTATTTTGTTCGCTAAAATTGTTTTCGGAGGCAAATTAATGGGATATGACACGACCCCTAAAAGGCTGTGGCCACCACATTTTTTTTAGAATTGTGCCACATCCTATTAACTTACCTTAAAAGCGTTCAGATCTCCGTCTTTTTTATTCGGTTGCTACTGCTAGCCTCCTTCTCCACATAGCAGGAATTTCATTAAAATTGTTCCTCCTAGAAAAGATATAGTCGTTTTTCCTTAGCTAAGCAAATCGAAAACACTGCGAAAATAACTGAATTACGGTAATATGCTAAGTCCGCGCTACCACATGAATCGCGAGGGAAGACGGGTAAGAACAAGTAGATCCGAAAGCCTGATCTTTGTAACTTTCAAAATGATGAGCCTGATTAGTCTTCTCTGGCCGAGACGAAAGCGAAAAATGGAACAAACAAGATTTTGGCTTGCTTTCAATTTCTCAAATTGTAGGTCATTTGAAGTGGATTCCTGAAGTGAGCAGAAAAGTAGCAGTACTTTGTAATGAGTGCAAAAAGAGTAGTTCACTCACTTTTGAAACAAAGTTAGGATGTTCGAAAATGACCACTTTACTTGAGCGTTCCAATATTTGGAATCGTTAACATTCGTCAAAACTTGGCCCACAGGGGTTATTTGAATGCTAATCACATGATGTTCTTATGCTTTCAGGATTCTTTCAATATGCTCACTTTGTGTGTACCACGGTAAGCCAAAATATCAGTCCTGGTATCTGCACAATGGGCTTATCAGACACTGTTAGCTGACATCATGGCGCCCCGCCCCTTCCTGACCCCTCTACGACCCCCACTCAGATAATCGCGGGGGCAGGCGGTCCCCAAACTCGCGTTTTCTTGCAGGCGGTCAGCAGAATTTTGGGGCGTGGCCAAACCTTCAGCGGGCGGTACCTCCTTTACTGTGAAATGTCCTGCCAGCGGGGCAGAACACAGAGTTTTTTGCGGCGCTCATCAAATAATCTTTTTTAGCGAGCGCTGGCCAAACCTTCAGCAGGCGCTCGGACTCTTTTGAGCAGTTTCCGACGTACGTCAAGCGAATGTGAGACTGTGCTGCAGAGGTGTCATCGATAGTTTAATTACTCATCCATAATTTAATAATTACTTGAGGTACTTTCTCTTAGCGGAAAATACCTGAGGGTTATGCGGTCCTCCACAAAGCACCGTGCAGCATCGAAAATTTTGCATACTCTCGCGGAAGATCTGCGAGAATGCGGCCGTTGCGCCGCAGTTAATAAGAAAACCACGATAGTTCTCCGAGCAATCTTCATCTGAAAATTGATCAGCATTCTTCCAAATTTCTGCAAGCGGGCCGCAAGAAATTAGCGAACTAATTTTCCGGTGCCTGCTTGCTCAAAATTCGCATGGCCGCCTGACTCCGGCGATTATCTGATCAGGTGTGGCGGCCACACTCCATGCTTGACCCTGATTAGAGCTAGCCAGTGACGTCAGCATGTATGAAAACCCTGATACGAAAGTTTTCGGGTCTGCAATCTTTTGCAAAGGCATGTTCACAACGGCGCCGCACGCTGCAAGTTCTGTTTCTATTCGTAACCCTATAGTAATGAAAAGCGATCAGTATTTGACGCAGATCTAGCAAATACTTGATTGAAGTGGCGTTTTCATAAGAATGATACATTGTCTGACATAGCACAACGCTAATTCCAAAACTGCTTCTTGTATTTGCATAGCGCTTCCAGGGGGGGGGGGAGTTCTGGAAATTTTTGATGTAAAAATTCAAAGATTTGACTAAGGTAAAGTTGTTGAGGTCCTTCTCGCGCTCAAAGGCAGCGACTCGGCAGAATGACAACTTTGGGACATACATCGTTCTCGGTGCCCCTAGTTAAGTCCAAGACTATGCTCTGCGGCTTTGATATCAATAAAGCTTTAAAGGATATCAGTAACCCGCTTTTAAGACGAGAAAAGTGCTATTTGGGCTGATGGCGTATGCTACCCTCTGCGAGCGCGATTGGCTCGTGGGTACGGTGGGTAGGTGTCTCCAGTCACGAACCAATCGCGCTTTAAAGCACATGCATACGCGGTCCGCCCAAATAGCACTTTTTGCATCTGGAAAAGGGGAATCTATATGTCTTTTGAAGCTCAAAGCACAGTCGTGGACCTAGCTCATCCAAAGAAACCGAGGACGATGAATATCCCAAAGTTGTCGTTCTGCCGAGCCGCTGCCTTTGAAACGAGTAATGACTGGCATGAGTTTATTAAACTGAAAGTATTGCACAAAGCGTCCTGGAAATAATTAGAGCCCCTGAGCTCAAGGACTGCAGTTTCAAATAATTTTATTGTAGCGGGGCGTGTAATTTTTGCGTCCAATAATTATCGCAGTTCCCCTCCCAGAAGCGCTTTGTCACCGTACACAGATTCGAATGCAGCGTTCCGCGCCATAATACAGTATACATTTCGTATGGAAACGCCACTTCGGCCGTATCCTTCTCATCTAAGTTGAAGCCAGGTCTACAATACGGTTCTTGAGAGACCGCGAAATCTTTGGATACAAGAGAGTTACTGAAGATTGAGTAGTTTTTGAGACGCCCTCTATAGCTTGAGGCTTCCCATAGGTAGTGCCACAACATAGCTCAATTGCTGCTTTCAATGCGTTGGTAGATGAGCATCAAGGGTTTGATCACGCACTAAAGGCAGCACAAATGCGCAAGAGGCATGAGAAGCGCACTGGTCCCAAGACACTGGATCGAAAGTTTATACAGTCTGCCCCAATCGGGTTCGCCCGAACCGGTAGCCAGATTCGCGCGCAAGTAGCTCGATACCCTGCGCTGGATATGCGCTTTGTCGGCGAGAGAGCGAAGAGATCGAAGGGAGGGCAGGCAAGCAGGTGTAGCCGTGACGCTAATACCGACGCGGACTCCTGTCATGCCAATTTTCCTAGTTGGGGTTGGGGCAGACTGTATGTACAGGCTGCCCCAATGACAGTGTAACAGCTCCAGCTGCTCGAACAATTCAAAGTCCGCCGACACCTTCCTCGACCTTACGGAAGTGTCTTCTATTTTTTCGGCTTTCAGCTTTTGCTCAGGGGCGGCAAAGTTTTGGGTGCATTTACGAACGCGGTGCAGTGCCGCTGGAGCTGTGACATGAATCCGTCATTCTAGAGTGTGGTGAACCACGATTAGCGATGATAGAAGTCAATTTCTTTATTCATCGAGTATCACTTTTTCATAACAGTTTCTTGCACTTCCAAGGCGAGAATGAGCATTGCTGCTGCAATTTGTACACAAGAAGCCAATGTCCAGAAGAAGTTATATCCAGGCAAAGTTATTATCAGAAAAACCAGTAATCCCAATACCAGCGGTGAAAACACTTCTGCAACATACATCTTCAAACAGTTTGTAATTGAGTCTTGTTAACAACCTGCAGCGTATTGAAGCCTAACTTGAGTGTTAGACTCTTTCACCATTTGAGCAAAGTCGTAACGACCATCAATTTTATTAAACCTGCACAAAGATGATGACTGCAAGCTAGTCTGAGGTTTAATTACCATCTTCTGGCAGTGACGTAAAGATTGTAAAGGCACACTGCTGTACAAAAGATAAATTTAAAAGTACCAATGTAGTCAATGTTGGCGTAAAGCAAAAAGATCTGGAAAAGTACGGAACTAATGATGTCACTAATGTAAGAACTTCGTCAACTTGCTTGAAATATGATACATCCAAATTGAACACCTCTTGCTTGATAAACGATGGTGGGATAATTGAATGCCTGAATTTTGTTTACATAGATTGTCCTCAATTATTTTTTGAATTTAGTGCTGTAATCATCAGACGACATGAGATAGATCTATAGTTGAAAGAGGTGCGGTCAGGTCTATAAAAGCTAGCTTTGGACGATAGAAAGCAAGTTGACCGACCATGGGACCAATATTTTTTTCAAGTTGTTGTAAAATTATCATAAATTCGATAGAAACGCTGAACCAGTGCAGTTTCATTGTCTTGCAGCCAGATCCTAACAGGCTTTATGCGCTCCAAAGGAAAGTCAACTAGTCAACTAGTTAAGGTGACATTTTGTAGGTGAAGCATACTAACAACTATAAGTTTTTCTGTAGTCATAAAGGAAAAGTGGCTCAAAGGTACGACGGATTGTGGACATTAGCATGATTGGTGTACGCTCGAGTAGACTCAGTTGAATTGGAGTTGAATTAGAAACACGATGCTTATTAGGTAGTTTGCTTAAGTCTCGACGCTTCTTTACGGGCGTCTTGGTTGCCGTGCGTTTCAGAACTACGCAAATTTCGCAAAAAAAAAGAAGCTCAGGGCTTTTCCTTTTACTTCTGAACGTGGCTTGCATACATGAAAGCTCGTCTAGGACGCGTTCGAAGCTTTGTTTATCAGTTTACTTCACCTTTCGATTACAATCTTATTATAAAACTCTCTTGTTGAAGGTGCAAACTTATCGAACTCGCGCTAATCAAAAGTTGGGGATCGGTCAGAGTTTGCCAGTGTTGCCGGTGTTGAAAGTGTTACCGGTGTTGAAAGTGTTGGAAGTGTTGCCAGTGTTGAAAGTGTTGAAAGTGTTGCCGCTGTTGAAAATGTTGAATGGAGATCATCAGTCTAGCAGTTTCATTCTTTCTTGAACGATCTCACCGACTGGTGAATACGTTGGAAATGGAATTGGGGAATGAGAAATGAAACTGAAATGAGATGGGGAATGTTTTCGCATTCAAAAGATCCCTAAACAAACTTTTTGGAAAGTGGACGGCTTGTCTGGAATGGGCAATCTCCAATATTTGGAAACGCTGCAGACCTCACTTACATAGGTCCTTCACTCACTAATCGCAATCGCGGCAGGATTCGAACTAAAACACATTACTACTGACTTCAGCGTTTTCAAATATTGAAGATTACCTATTCCAGACAAGCCGTCCACTTTCCAAAAAGTTTGTTTAAGGATCTTTTGCATGCGAAAATCTTCCCCATCTCATTTCAATTTCATTTCTCATTCCCCAATTCCATTTCCAGCGTATTCACCAGCCGGTGAGATCGTTCGAGAAAGAATGAAACTGCTAGACTGATGATCTCCATTCAGCGCTTTCAACACCGGCAACACTTTCAACACCGGCAACACTAGCAAACTCTGACCGATCCCTTAGGGATCGGTCAGAGTTTGCCAGTGTTGCCGGTGTTGAAAGTGTTGAAAGTGTTGCCGGTGTTGAAAGTGTTGAAAGTGTTGAAAGTGTTGCCGGTGTTGAAAGTGTTGAAAGTGTTGAAAGTGTTGCCGGTGTTGAAAGTGTTGAAAGTGTTGCCGGTGTTGAAAGTGTTGAAAGTGTTGAAAGTGTTGCCGGTGTTGAAAGTGTTGAAAGTGTTGCCGGTGTTGAAAGTGTTGAAAGTGTTGCCGGTGTTGAAAGTGTTGAAAGTGTTGAAAGTGTTGCCGGTGTTGAAAGTGTTGAAAGTGTTGCCGGTGTTGAAAGTGTTGAAAGTGTTGCCGGTGTTGAAAGTGTTGAAAGTGTTGAAAGTGTTGCCGGTGTTGAAAGTGTTGAAAGTGTTGCCGGCGTTGAAAGTGTTGAAAGTGTTGAATGTATACATCAGTCCTGCAGTTTCATTCTTCCTGGAGCGATCTTACTGGCTGGTGAGATCGTTTGAAATGTACATGGAACATGAGTAATGAAATGCGACTGAAATGGGAAATGCTTTTACATGCAAAAGAACCTCATACAAAGCTTTTGGAAGGTAGAGGACTTGTTTTAGATAGGCAATCCCCAATATTTGAAAACGCTGCAAGACCTCCTATATGTAGGATCTGCAGCGAACACCCATTACTCGGACTTTAGTAGCGTTCTCAAAATTCAAAGATTGCCTATCTAAAACAAGTCCTTTACCTTCCAAAAACTTTGTATGAGGTTCTTTTGCATGTAAAAGCATTTCCCATTTCAGTCGCATTTCATCACTCATGTTCCATGTACATTTCAAACGATCTCACCAGCCAGTAAGATCGCTCCAGGAAGAATGAAACTGCAGGACTGATGTATACATTCAACACTTTCAACACCGGCAACACTTTCAACACTTTCAACACCGGCAACACTTTCAACACTTTCAACACCGGCAACACTTTCAACACCGGCAACACTGGCAAACTCTGACCGATCCCTTGCTTTTAAAGCGAGATAGCTGCCCCGAAAGTCGCTCGGATGACAGTTTCGCCGTTGGCTCCTCCCTTTTGAGTGGGCGTGACGTTCGTCCCATCCATCCGTGCGCACCCGACCAATCGTCGTACCGGAGCACTCGTCTTGCGGGTTCCGAAACGGGAGTTTTTCAAGGTTTTTCGTTCTCGATTTTATATTTGGAATCAGGTGAGAAGGCCCTGGTACGGCAAAAACATGGAAGTCAAAAATTTGGGTGGACGATGCCTTCAAGTACAAAATACCATAAGGTGAATTTCATTTTTTTTTTCAATCATCTTCTTCGAAGAAAGAGTCTACGGGTCCCGAGAGTGCAAAAAACTGGTAAAAATACTGCTGTGGAGGAGATAATGACCTGGAAGGGACATGATTACAAGGGACGTGGGCCACTGGTGGTCCACGTCGTTGTCAATGGGTTAAGCACCATCGTGCAAGAGGCTCTTGCGAGGGATTTGGAGGTCATGCTTACTTCACAGATTCTTTGCCAATTTTTTGGCTGTCGCCAGCAATGCCATAGGCCTCGGGTAGAGTTCACGCGATTTTATCATCGCTATTCATCGCGACAAGGCAAGTGTTACAAATTCATTGCATGCCGATCTTCTTGCATTTCGGTTGTGATAGTTAGTCACGATAGTCGTGTTGGAAAACTATCACAGCCGAAATGCAAGAAGATCGGCATGCAACGATATTGTTATAGTTATCTTGTCGCAATCAATCGCAACGATGAAATCGCGTGAATTCTGCCCGAGGCCATGGACTAAAAGTGGATTATTTTTGGAATCACGTCCGGAAGGAGGGTGTGTTCAGTGTCCTGCGACTACATTGGTTCCAACGGCTTAGAATGGTACTGACACTATGATAGAAATGTGCTGGCACAGCGTTTGCACATGGGCGACTTTGAACGCTTCCTCAAAGCCAGCATGGGCATATAGATTTTGCACAGCTTATACCCTTTGAATCAACGGGAATGGTGGCTGGAGGCGGGGCTTCGAAGTTTATTCAAGGCTAGGGAATGGTCAGAGAGCACGCTCGCGAGAGAGACACAGTGTGCGTCGCGTATACGAGCGGTTGTCTTCCAGTCGCCAATGCCGTTGAATCAGAGGATAGGCAGGGTGCCTCTAATGCCAGCAAGAACAACGAGGACCACAAACCATTTCTGCCAGTCCAGTCGATTAGTAATTAGAAAAATGCACTTTACTTCTTTTCCAGCGCATTAAGCGCATTGTCTTAAATAACATAATGTTGACGTGAGAACTAAGTATGGGTTCATTTCTACTTACTCGATTACTTGTCCAAGCCGCTCTTGTAGCGGGGCAGCGGCTCCTTTCATAATGATGTCGGCGGTACGTGCACACGGTATATACGGTACGGTATATAGAACTTGAATGCCCGCGTTGTTTATGAAGAAGAAAATTGGCCAAGATGTTCCACACGCGCGGGCAGCGGCAAGAGCTGAACGCATGGAAGCGCATACTGATTGCATATGTCCGCGAGACCTTTCGGCAACATGATAAACTCTATCCGTGAACGGGTAGGAGAACTGCATGTCTCCGAAAGGAGTGGGTCCACGCGGACAACTGCAACAGTTTACGCAGCTCCACATATTGCAAACATTACAGATTTATACCAGCTGTCAGAGAGGGATAGAGCCTATCGGCGATATATAGTCCTCTACCTCTTGCCTCTTCGTTCAGGGCGCTCAAGATCACATTTCAATTACCTTAACCCTAACGCAACTTAACAGCTTGCTCGTAATACTTTGGTTCTAGAGAAGACAAGACAGATTCCCTTACGGAGAGTACGAGTTTCCGTACATAGTTAGAACAACAAGAGCTCTTCAATTTGGCTGCTGCTTACTACAGGTAATAAAACTATTTTAAATAGACAGAGCAAGACTTCATTTCTGCTACTTTAGATACTAATAATTTATTCTGAATCTGGAAGTATTGGTATGATTCCGTTTGTCTACTACAATACAGTATGTGCTATGTATACAATGCATGTTTTTAGAAGATGGTAAGAGAAGGAAACTCAGAAAAAAAATTCACATATTGTTTTCAGGTGCTTAAATATTGATGGGCGCTTTGACTTACGCCAGCTACTGCGTGAACCCGAAAATACAACCAAAATACAATACGCAATTGGTGCATGCCTTGTTTTGTATAGTTTCCCCCCAAAAATAATGTTTTTCAGCGTTATTCACACCAAGCTTTTTAAGTATACTGATATTTCTTTCTGTATATATCTACACTCCTGCCCTTCACATTATCTGGACAGCTACATGTATACTCGAGATTATTCTAGCAGTAGGACTGATTAGTCTTGAATGCTATGAAGTCTTCATACTGGAAAATTAATTTCGTATGAATTTCTTAATAAATAAATCAAAATCAAGTACTTTCTCAAAGTAAACTGGGCCAAATTCAGTGGTGCTTTTCGAAGCACAGTAGCATCAGCAGTGATTACGAATACTTTGTACAATATTTATCCGAATTATTCATTCCTTCTTGTGAAGATCCAAAAACTTTTGATTGCTTTCACCCCGAAGCAGAACTAGAAAATAAGTATAGGGCATTCGAAAAATCGTGACGATGGCGCGACGCGCGCGGCACGCCGGCAACCACAGAAATTTTGGTCTTCAACTCTACCCGAACAGTTTTCTGCCTACATATGATAGTACATGAAACTGGAAGTGACTGAGGTGAGCATTGAGGTGATGCCTTTCTGTATGAGTGCTTTATGCTTCTGCGCAAAGACCGCAGTCGAATCCATTGTCGTTACGATTTTATAAATAATCTACGCTTTGCTTCAATCAAATTGTCTGCTGAAAGGCGGGGCTTCATGACCCAGGAGGCGACTGCTCGCGTCCGCAACGCAGTTTGCGCCTCCTTCGCGAACATGCTCTCTGATTGTTTTCTAACTTTAATTAGGTCACGGAGCCCCGCCCTCCAGCCGCCGATCTGGTTGAAGCCAAGGGTATATAGTATGCTTGTAACGCCAAATTAAAACCAGGTTATTGCTTGACACAATGTGACATCGGGTTTGGAAGGGAATTCTTTTGACATCGCACAAAATTAAGAACCACTCTGTATGGTCAATCTACAGCAAACGATTGGAAGAGAAAAGAATAATAAAAAGGAAGTCATTTCAAGAAATTTGGTGCCACATAGCGGAACATGCAAAGATTGGAGGTAGATTGGAGCTAAACGACGAAAACTCGTAGGCTGCGTTCATGCTGATTATGAAATCCGGGAACAGTTCCAGCACAGTGCTCGAAGTGAGCGTTGTTCTGGGACTGTTCCCGGACTTCGGTATCAGTATGAACGCAGCCGTAGGAAAAAACTTAGGAAGTATTGTAAGAGTTGGAAAAATCCACAACGTCTTTCAATTTGGGTGGCTCATCCGGGCTGCTGTGCCGCTTCTGCAGTGCGGAGTCACCTAGGATAGAAAATCAAAAACATTTTTTATTAACGTTCGTACTTGGAAATTGCGTTATTGTTTGACACATTGGAAAGGCATGCATACCAGTGAATGCGCGAGCATGCACGAAACTAAAGCACCTTTTAATCGTCAGCGTGTCAATTGACGTGGCGATTTTGTATTGTCTAGATCTATTGTCTTGCATAAAGTTGCTTTTGCAAGTACTTTAAAGGTAGTGTCCCACCAAAGTTGAGGTCGCGCGGATCTCCACATATTCTATTATAGGGACCTCTAAATAGGCCATTGCAACAAGTCCCACTCAATTTGACCCCCTCCACGCTGAGAAAAATTCGCTCAAAGTGGTACGCAGAGAGCGAGTTGGTACGCGCGGACGACTCCTTCGGTCTCCCTCCTTACGCGTTTGAACATGTCCCTCCACTTAGCATCCATCTCCCCTCTGTTGCTGTCACTGTGGCTGAGGCTGAAGTTGGAGGGTACAACTCGTCCACGTTGCTTCGCGGAGCCTCCAGAAAAAGGGGTTTTTGGGAACTTCGTGCGATTTTAAGCCCATACAGTGCTAGACAGGGTCCGACAGGCTTGCAAAATGCAAAAATCTCGGCAACTAAGTTTTGGTGAGACACTGCCTTTAACTCGTCACTGAAACTCTGTTGGCGAAAACTTTGTATTCAAGAGCCTGCAGCGGCATAGAGCTTAGGGAGTTTAGGGTTTGCAGACCACTCAAATATAAGTTCGCTTCAAAAAAGCCTAAATTGAGACTTAACTTTAGAGACACACAGTTGTGTGGACGTGCTCAACAGCATTTTTTAATGGATTCAAGCAGCTCGTCCTTGCGAATTCACATGAAAGACATATGCTACAGCTCACTATAAGAAATTTATTGAACAAACATACACACAAACAACCTTGTTATCATAAGATAGCTGGCGGTCCCTCTCCTTGGGCTCAAAATTATACTGGCTGGCTGCTCTTCCCGGCCTTCAAAATCCCACTAACCTAATTGTTTGTTGTTCTGTTGTTGTAGTTGTTCACATGAAAGAAGGAGATTCGACAGCATGTGATAAAGAATTAATATTGTTGAAGTTCGCTAAAGATTGATAAGAAAAAAGAAGCTGAAAATTGCCGAGGAAAGTATCCTCTAACATAAGCTACTGTTCAAAACGTAGGTGTGCAAAGTACGGTGTATCATTTTATAGATCTGAATTCACATTACGAATATGGAGCGAAATGAAGCTTTTTATTTATTACTGTAGGGTAACGGTAGACTTTGAAGTTTTTAAAGCCATTAAGATCCGATTTTACCTTAGAAAGCAAAACAAACAATTTTGATGTCTTGCTCAAAATTTTACCACGCCTTATAGTTTAAATCATAAGCTTTAGGGTTGAGTGGTAAATTCGTTACTTACGCGCAATAATCCTTATTTGATAAGTCCAATTTTTCGAAAAGTTTCAAAACCCGGCCATTTCAGAACGGCGCGTGTGTTAAAGGTTCTACCGTAACCCGATAGTAAAAAACAATCAGCAATCTGCTCCGTACTGCACTAATGGCCGGCTCTACATAAAATACCTCAAGGTCGGCAAAGAAAGAATTGTGGGAAGAAGGATATTGACGACCAGACATGTGTACATACTTTTAACACACCGTGTATATTTATTTATTTATTCATCTATCTTTGAGTACAAACGAGGTGCATAAGGTGCGTAGAGAGAAGACAACCAAATCCTCAGTCGTGAACTTGAACTCGATTATTTGGGCGCTAACTGCCACTTTTGCAAAAGAATCGATAATCGATCAAGTAATAGATAAAGATAATTCAAAAATCAATATTGTGTTTGTTATATAGTGTATTCGTAATCAGTTTGTTCACTTGAAATTTGCCAACTTTCAGTCCCTGTAGCTCAAACTTTGCAAAACTTCGACATTGATATCGATCGATGACGAAAAGTAGGCTACGACAGTCGTTCCGTCCCGAATGTATATGTGCAAAGTTTGATCCGGACCGGTTCAGAAAGGGAATTTCGTACCGGAAACATACGTAACGCATACGGATATACATTTATTAGAGATTAACAGACATTTGGTTTTATACGTATACAAATTAGAAAATCGAAACTCAAAAGGATGTTTACTAGCAATTGCGAACGAAAGTATCTATATCGAGCTATGTTAATATTATCGAATCATTGATTACGGTAATAATAACGCCGGTGACAGGTAATTCAGTCGAAAGTCGAAACAGAAAATAACGCTGAAAAAATTTGACTGCAGTAAAGCCAAAACTAGGTGTAGAACCAAACAGTGACTTTTGACTCGGTGAAACATTCTGTACGAATTGACGGAATTTCCATATTGAAAACTGTTTGTGTGGGAAAGATTTGGAATTCTTTACTGCACTTCAAATTGCTCTTTGAACTTGGGGGAGAAAATATCCCTAGAAGAAACAAGACAGATTGATACTTGGCGGCTATATTCCAAATGCTCAACGACGCAGACATTGCCATCATACTTTAGCATTTTTTTTATCTGGAAAAAAAATGAAGAAAACTAAAAAGTGCACTTCCTACTCAGCCCAAACTGTTTCAAGACGCAAGGAATTGCTGGATATTCGCGACAAACCTCGCTTAGCACTTTATGGAGCACGTTCATGCACACATATACTTCGCTTGCTTTGCAAAGGTCTTCAACAAACAAACAGTCAACCTAAACAAATAATGCATATTGTGCAACAATTGACTGACTAACTTTTTTGACAACTTCATCCACATCATAGCAAACATAAAGGTCGGTGATGCCCATCAAATACGAGTGCAAGAACCATTCAAGGTTGATCTTATCTTTGTTTCGGTTGTAATTTGTCAAATTTGTCACCTTCAACTCTACGGGGACATTTGTCTCTTCTGAAACAAGTTCATATGAGAATTTACAAGCATTCAAATCTCGTTACTGTAGAGTGCGTCAACTTCTCCGTTATAGAATAATTTGAGAGGCTTTTTGGATTTAGGACCCAAAGCCAATGTGGACTGCATTACTCCTACAAATTCTTCGAAGTTTGTGGCCGACTTATCTGTTGTCGAAGTAACCTATAAAATCGATGATTTTCTGAGATAACTGCCACTGTCGTAGAAAAAAATCCTATAAATATTAGGTTGTCGGATAATTTCTGTTACACTTTTTTCTAAATTTTCCAGGAAATTCCGGAAGCTTTCTAACAACCCCAGATTTGCAACACGCTTAGGACATAGCAGGATCCACCCACCAGCATGATTGATGCCACAAATGCACTAATGACCAACAAGTTTACGGCAGTTTTGTAAAAACAGTCCAAGTTTTCAGTTCTTCTTTGATCTTTTTCCTTGCATCTACCTGCGCTTTTTCTCTTCCAGAATTTTTTTAGAGCGTAATTTGGCATTGTCTCTTACATGGAGGCGTTTCGGTGCCTTTAACTTTTCAATAACGAGAAGTGGAAAAAATATCAAAAAAATTCAAAAACTTTTCTAAATTTTTCTTTTTAGGTGCATTGGATAGGAATCAATACGTAAAACATAGAAATGATTTTTCGAGATTTTCTGAAGACGTTTTCTTTGTAAAAATTTCGATGATTGCAAACATAGCGCACACTGAGATTTGAACCGCCCAGAAAAACGTGTGCAGACATGTCTGCGTTATCCCCCCATATCAGTTAAACGCTACAAACTATGCCCTTCCTGATTATCACATTGTTCGGTCTATCGCTCATCACCTGAGAGAACGCCAGCTCATTTACAAAAATTGGAAGAAACGGATTTTCAGCCACAAAGTAAACGTTTTGCACGGATCGCGGATGCGACGGTACCCTTGAGTAGGCTTTTTGACCCTGCCCATATGCCGTGAACACGAGATCTTTTGAAAGCTTCTGAGATTTTTAAGAATTAGAATAAAAAGTGTAACAGAAATTACCCGACAGCCTAATATGTTAATTTGACTTGATAACGTTGGAGCAAAAACACAGCGTCATTCTTTTTTGCATCATTCAATTACGCTGGAAGAATACAGTTACCTTGCAAAATTCAGTAACACTATCAACGCCAAAAACTTATTCTTTTCAAAAATCAGTAAACTCACATCTTTTCCTGTCACTGTAACGTACTCGGCAAAACTGAAGCCACGATATATTTCACGTTGCTTTTCTAGAGGCAGCGTGTGGTTCAGATAGCGTTCACTTTCACAAAGAAAGATCACGTCACCAACGCGTCGAACAGAAAACTTCCAGGAAGCATTCAAATTATACGGAGCGTGTGCTACTCGTTTAAGTAGCCCACGACAACACACAATATCAGAACCATTGAGTCCCTAAACAAAATATATGTTTTGACATATGTGTTGCATAACACACTCTACCTCTTTTAACTGACTTCTCGTAGATGCTAGTGTAGTGATATAATCCCAAAATGTATTTTGTCTTTCTTCAGGCTTGAACAAAGTAAATAGGTTATCCAATAAATAAGAGCCCTTAGTAATATGTACAAAGTACATTTACCGGGAGATATTGGCTGTGAGTTAAAAGTTTCTTTAAGATGTGCTTAAACTTTAATCAGTCAAAAGCTAGTGCTGGGCGAAGGCGCAAAGGCGGTGTTAGGACCTAGGCACACCTCATGCGAATTCATTCGCCATGCGATCTGGCAATATGCCACGGGGTTTTAATTTCGATGCTGGAAAACCTCAAATGCAAAGCATATATAATTTTCATAGGTTCAAAAATGTCCTACCTTTCGTACGTTCAGCAGCCCCTCACGATGAGTTATTACCAACTAGGTCTTGCCAGATCGCGTCGCGACTGAAATCGCGTGAGGTATGCCAGTGGCTTTAAGTGTGCGAAGACAAAGGAATGACTTGAGTTTTGCTCGACCGCCTTGCTTGGGCTTTCACGAACGCGCTTTCTGATCATTTTCCCACGCTTAATTGGCAATGAAAGCTTGCCTTCAAGCCTCTTTAACGCTCAAGCCTGAGAAAATGATGGGAGTGTACGCGAAAGCATTGCGAGCCTATGCGATGCGGTCGCAAGAAGTTCGACCCACTCAAATAGGGCTCATTCCAAATAAAACGTCGATAATTTGCGCCCTTTTGTGCTGCGGGGTTGTTAAAACCGCATTTGCGTTCTTAGGTTTCGCGCTGTCATCTGCCGCTGTGCTGTGCACGTATATCTAGCCAAAGAAACTCAAGAAAAAATCACATAAGACTCTACAGTTGCAGCGGTAGAATTTGTCCAAAATTGCGGGATTGTCGGGATTCGCGGGATTCGCGGGATTCGCGACTTTGCGGGATTTGCGGGATTCGCGGGATTTGCGGGATGAGCGGGATTTAGCTAGAACTTCTTTTAAAACAGCTTTATTTGTATTTTGCGTGAAGATTTGGCTTCAGCTTGATGAGACGAATCTTCTGCTATACAATATGTCCGTAATTCATAGTGACACGGTAGACATATGGTGATACCTTGTTATTTTCTATGTCAAGGCTTTTGTGAACATCTATCACCGTGTAAATCGCGAATAGGAGGTTCTGGTACGAAGTTCCCATTATCAAAAACTATCGCGAAAAAAATGGGCAGTTTTTATTCAACCTTATCACTGATATAAGCATTTTATTATTTATCACTGATAATATCATATTTTTGGATCATTTTTGGCATATGTAAGAAAAGTAGTATAGGAAACGCTGTGTGAATTTCTATCGCTCTTTCCCTCATTAAAAGTGATCTACAAGATTTCCTAGTTCTATTGTTCGGTCAATTGGTAGATCCCTCGCTGCAGCAATCGATCGTTTTCTCATCGGCACATGTCATTGCTGCCAGTTCTTACCTGAAATGGCATTTTCGCTTCAACTCGCTTCACGCCAAAGCCTGGACTGAAATTCTGCACCTATATGGAAGATGAAGGTGGGAATCGACCGCGTGAATTTAAGCCATTCTCATCTGTCGTTATCATTGATATCACCATTTTATCATTCATCACTGATGATATCACAAAATTGGATCATTTTTGACATAAAGTAAGGAATGTACTTTGGGAAACGCTGTGCGAGTTTTTACCGCTCTATCTCTTATAGAATGTGATCTACAGGCTTTTTCAGTTCAATTGCGCATTCGGTGCAGTAGATAGATGCTCTTTCAAAAAAATTCACCGCTCTATAAATTGTGAATGAACGGAGTCGCCTGTCAACAGGAGTTTCAAAGATGAGCTGAACACTTCTGTTTTCTGCATATGACATACAAATCCAGATCCACAAAGGGTTCCTTCATACTACGCCGCGTACGCCGCGTACGCCGCTGCAGCGCAATGGAAAAAAATGTGCTCACGGCAGCAAAGCTCCACTTTTTTTGATGTATCTTTATATTTGCTGCACATTCGTGTCCCTCAATAGTGTTCCTTCACACTATGCATTTCTTCTTCTCTTTTGCCTTGTTTATCCTGACTATCCTTTGTCTATATCAATGATTGATGGAATGACTTAGGTTGTTGTGCTCCCTCTACTTTTGAGTTTCACATTTTGTATCGTAACTGACTGCATTTGCGTCACCTGGTTGTATACTGGTAGTATATGGTTGTATGGTTGAATGTTGCATCTGGTTGTATATTTGCGCTGTTAACATCTCCTTACAAACACATCACTGGATGAAAAGGATTTCTCTTCTTCTATCTCCATATTTCCATTGCGCTGCAGCGGCGTACGCGGCGTGCGCGGCATGAGCGGCGTACGTGGCGTACGTGGCGTACGCGGCGTACGTGGCGTACGTGGCGTACGCGGCGTACGCGGCGCAGTATGAAGGAACCCTTTGTGGATCTGGATTTGTAAGTCATATGCAGAAAACAGAAGTGTTCAGCTCATCTTTGAAACTCCTGTTGACAGGCGACTCCGTTCATTTACAATTTATAGAGCGGTGAATTTTTTTGAAAGAGCATCTATCCACTGCACCGAATGCGCAATTGAACTGAAAAAGCCTGTAGATCACATTCTATAAGAGATAGAGCGGTAAAAACTCGCACAGCGTTTCCCAAAGTACATTCCTTACTTTATGTCAAAAATGATCCAATTTTGTGATATCATCAGTGATGAATGATAAAATGGTGATATCAATGATAACGACAGATGAGAATGGCTTAAATTCACGCGGTTGATTCCCACTTTCATCTTCCAAATAGGTGCAGAATTTCAGTCCAGGCTTCGGCGTGAAGCGAGTTGAAGCGAAAATGCCATTTCAGGTAAGAACTGGCAGCAATGGCATGTACCGATGAGAAAACGATCGATTGCTGCAGCGAGGGATCTACCAATTGACCGAACAATAGAACTAGGAAATCTTGTAGATCACTTATAATGAGAGTAAGAGCGATAGAAATTCAGACAGCGTTTCCTATACTACTTTTCTTACCATATGCCAAAAATGATCCAAAAATATGATATTATCAGTGATAAATGATAAAATGCTTATATCAGTGATAAGGTTAAATAAAAACTGCCCATTTTTTCGCGATAGTTTTTGATAATGGGAACTTCGTACCAGAACCTCCTATTCGCGATCAACACGGTGATAGATGTTCACAACAGCCCTAACATAAAAAATAACAAGGTATCACCATACGTCTACCGTGTAACTATGAATTACGGACATATTGTATACCAGAAGATTCGTCTCATCAAGCTGAAGCCAAATCTTCACGCACATTACAAATAAAGCTGTTTTAAAAGAAATTATAGCTAAATCCCGCTTATCCCGCAAATCCCGCGAATCAAATCCCGCGAAGTCGCGAATCCCGCGAATCCCGCGGATCCCGACAATCCCGCAAATCTCGACAATCCCGCAATTTTGGACAAATTTTACCGCTGCAACTGTATGGCCAGCCTCATCCTAGAAAATGTGCAATTGCACACGTTAACAGTGAAAACTACAGGGTTGCTTTTTCTTGTGAATCTGAGAAAACTCACCTGTTCTTCGAATTTTTTGAAATCTTCGCAAAGATTTGTGCCTCTCATACCGGACAGCGCATTTTCATCTTCATTCAAATATCTAGCACCCTCACTTCCTAGTACAAACTGTCGGGTGCTGCTGCTGCTGCTGCTGCTGCTGCTGCTGCTGCTGCTGCTCACCTGTGAATAGATTCTGAATGAAAAAAGGCATTAAGAAACTGCTTCTATCTAAAAATAAATTTACGGCAACGTACGCTATACGAATCGATCGGCTTTAGTTCTACAAGTTTTGCAGATTCTGCAGATGGCTTTTTATTGTCTCTTTCTGTGATGGAAATCCAAACAACTGTCTTGTCTGTCTTGTCTATAATAAACCATTCAACAAAATAAAGCTGATTCGTTGGTCAAACTGGTTTGCAGCACTAGTTGTGTTCTTGTTGTTCCATAATAATCTTGCGGTGAAACGATGGATCAAGTATGATTGTTCATGGCAAGTGGAAAATTGGAACTTACTACTGGATAATGATCGACATGAGATACTTTGTGGGTAATGTGGTAATGAAAACGTCACAGTCATCTGGGTGAAGGAACTTATCTACCCAAAGCACTTGCCGCAGCTTAGTTATAATGGCATCGAGGAGGGTCAGGAGTGTGACATGCCAGACCTGGTAGGTCGTACTGAGTTATAGGAAAGGGGGTCGTTATCGAGATTTCTGATGTTGGTGATAACATAATATCCACTAACAGTCGGATAAGCCTATTAGGCAAAATATTAGGGGACCGAAAGTTCGTTCGCACAGTTTCAAATATTCATAACTTCTGGTTTTAACAACGGATTCGCATGTATTTATTTTCATCTGAAAGAGTAATTCGTTCTTTTCATAGCGGTATCTGAGCGGCGTTCTAATGAGCAGACGCTGCATGATATAAGCGGTAGAAGAAAAATGCTCAAATTTTCGATTTTCTGCGTTAGGTCATGAAAAACTGGAAGTTGCAGTAAAAATCGGAGCAGTCGGTATTATAGGTTCTTTCAACAGCTCTTTCTGACAGTGCAAAGTTTGCGCCGATTGAGCGTCTCTATGAAAAGTTATGATTCCCCTGAAAAATGTCAAGATAAATCAAATTCGCCCTTTTGTATTACTTGCTCGAAAACCGTAACTTTTCATAAAGACGCTCAATCGGCGCAAACTTTGCATGTCAGAAAGAGCTGGTAATAGAACCTATAATAACAACTGCTCCGATTTTTGTTGCAAGTTTCAGATTTTTTATGACCCAACACAGAAAATCAAAATTTTGAGTAATTTTTTTCTACCGCTTATATCTATGCAGTATATGCTCATTAGAATGACGCTAAGATACCGCTATAAAAAGAATGAATTGCTCTTTCAGATAAAAATAAAAGCAGTCAAATCGGTTGGAAAAATCAGAAGTTATGAATTTTTGAAATTGGTGCGAACGAACTTTCGGTCCAACCTAATATATTACTAACACGATGATGTTGGCATACCATTATATACATACAACTAGCGACCCGTAGGGTCACTAGCGAGTGGGTCGGGGCAGATACAATATAA